GATCTCTTGACCTCGTGATCCACCTGCCTCGGCCTCCCAAAGTGCTAGGATTACAGGCTTGAGCCACCGCGCCCGGCCGACACACTCAACACTCACAGTTTTTCATCATCTGGTCCCCAACCTGCCTCAACCCACAGCTAAATCCTCACCCCATCCCAGGGCCCCAGCCATACTGAGTAAACACTAGCCTTTGCTAGGTTGTGCCAGATTGTCTCAGATGCTCCTTTCCTTTTTGTCCACCTTTAAAACATCTAATCATCCTTCAATAGTCGGCTCAAGCAGCATTTCCCACTCAGGGCCTTTGTAGACCCCATTTTTCTGGGTGACCTGTTGGCACCTTAAACAGATTTCTGTTGGAGAACCTTCCCTATGATCTACCTTCACTACTAGACTTGAGCCAGGTGCACTGTCAGAACTGAGGATAATGTCTGGAAAATGACTAAGCTTTACTGCATCAATAAACAAATGAATGAAGGCCAAATTATGAAAAGAATCATATACTTTACAAAGGGGTGGTCATTCCTGAAATGATTTGGAGGTGAAGGGAGACACTGATGCAAAGCTGAACACTGAAGATGGATTTTGCAGCAGGCTGTGTGGCCAAGGCCCCGTGACCTGAACTGCCATTTGCAAAAGCAAACTAAACTTTCAGCTGTGGCAAGGGCAGAGCAGAGTAATGTGTACCCTTGGTTTCATGTGTCTAGGTCTCTGTGGCACATTTTGTTTCATGTGCCTTGGGTGTCAAGTTGCAGCTGACATGAATGAATGCTGTCTGTGTGGAACAAGCGTCGCAATGAGGACTCTCTACAGGACCCGATATGGCATCCCTGTGAGTCTCTTACGACACCGTCTCACTCAAATATGCAACCACATTCACAAAAATTATAAACATGGAGATCATTTGATGTATACATCTTCTGAAATTGATTGAGAAGAGTTCTCTAGCATGTGCAAACTTGCATTCAGTTGTAGCAACAGATCTGGTTATGTGACCTCCTTCTGGTTCCTGCTGAAAACTTGAAATAATAAATAACTCATATTTTCAATGGATGTCATGCAATGGAAGAGGACTGTTTAGGGTCTACTGTGCCCCACATGCATTACACGTATTACCTCACTTAATCCTCACATCACCTCTGTAAAGCGGGTAGGTCCACACCGTTTTGCTGAAGAGAACTTTGAAGTTTTAAGAGGTGGAGTAATTCCCCCAAAGATACTCCCTAATGGTAGAAAAAGAGTCGATACTTAATTCTAACTGTCCATTCATGTACTTTCCATTACACCAGGTCCACTTCATGTAGGTAAGAGATTATATTACTTAGGGTTCTCCTAAGTGCATTAGAAACAGAACCAATAAGATGGGAGTGAGTGTGTGTGTGCTTGTGTGCATGTGTGTGTGTATACATATATATACAGGCATACCTCAGATATACAGGCTTAGTTCTAGACCACTACAATAATACAAATATTGCAATAAAGCAAGTCACATGAATTTTTTGGTTTCCCAGTGCACATAAAAGGTATGCTGATAATACACTGTAGTCTATCAAGTATGCAATAACATTATGTCTCAAAAAACAACATATGCACCTTAATTTTAAAATAGTTTATGGCTAAAAAATACTAATAGTAATCTATCTGAACCTTCAGCAAGTCATAATGTTTTTGCCTGTAGAGGGCCTTGCCTCAATGTTGGTGGCTGCTGACTGCTCAGGGTGCAGGATACTGAGGTTGGGGTGGCTGTGGCAGTTTCTTCAAATAAGGCAACAATGGGCTGGGTGCGGTGGCTCACACCTGTAATCCCAGCACTCTGGGAGGCCAAGGAAGGATGATCACTTAAAGTCAGAAGTTTGAGACCAGTCTGGCCAACATGGTGAAACCCCATCTCTTCTAAAAATACAGAAGTTAGCCAGGCATGGTGGCAGGTGTCTGTAATCCCAGCTATTCAGGAGACTGAGGCAGGAGAATTGCTTGAACCCGGGAGGCGGAGGCTGCAGTGAACAAGGCTGCATTCCAGCCTGGGTGACAGAGCAAGACTCCGAGTCAAACAAAACAAAACAAAAGCAAAGAACAAATAAGGCAACAATGAGGTCTGCCTCATTGATTGACTGTTCCCTTCACGAAAGGAAAGATTTCTATGCTGTTCGATAGCATTTTACCAGCAATAGAACTTTTTTCCAGTTTGGATTCTGTCTTCTCAAATTTGTTACTGCTTTATCAACTAAGCTTATGGAATATTCTAAATCCTTTGTTGTTATTTCAACCATGTTCACAGCATTTTCACCAGTAGATTCTATCTCAAGAAACCGCTTCCTTTCTTTTTTCTTTTTCTTTTTTTTTTTTNTTTTTTTTTGAGACGGAGTCTTGCTCTGTCACCAGGCTGGAGAACAGTGGTGTGATCTCAGCTCACTGCAACCTCCGCCTTCCAGGTTCAAGCAATTCTTCTGCCTCATCCTCCCGAGTAGCTGGGACTACAGGTGCGTGCCATCATGCCCAGCTAATTCTTGAATATTTAGTAGAAACAGGGTTTCACCATGTTGGCCAGGATGGTCTTGATCTCTTGACCTCATGATCTGCCCGCCTGGGCCTCCCAAAGTGCTGGAATTACAGGTGTGAGCCACTGGGCTCGACCTCAAGAAACCACTTTCTTTGCTCATCCATAAGAAGCAGCTCCCATCTATTCAAGGTTTGTCATTGAGATTGCAGTAATTCAGTGACATCTTTAGGCTCCATTTATTTTTATTTTTTCTTCTTTTTTCTTTTAGGCTCCATTTCTAATTCTAGTTCTCTTGCTATTTCTACCACACCTATAGTTACTTTCTCTACTGAAGTCTTGAACACCTCAAAGTCATCCATGAGGGACAGAATCAACTTCCGGCCAGGTGCAGTGGCTGAAGCCTGTAATCCCAACACTGTGGGAGGCCGAGGTGGGTGGATCATAAGGTTAGGATTTCAAGAGCAGCCTGACCGACATGGTGAAACCCTGTCTCTATTAAAAATACAAAAGAAAAAAAATTAGCTGGGCATGGTGATGGGCACCTGTAATCCCAGCTACTCAGGAGACTGAGGCAGGAGAATCACTTGAACCAGGGAAGCAGAGGTTATAGTTAGCCAAGATCACACCATTATACTCCAACCTGGGCAACAGAGCGAGACTTCATCTCAAAAGGAAAAAAAAAAAGAATCAACTTCTTCCAATTTCCTGTTAATATTATTTTTTTGACCTCCTCCCAAGAATCATGAATGTTTTTTTGTTTGTTTTGTTTTTTGAGACAGGGTCTCACTCAGTCACCCAGGCTGGAGTGCCATCTCTGCTCACTGCAGCCTCTCCTCCCACGCTCAAGCAATTCTCCCACCTCATCCTGTGGAGTAGCTGAGCTATAGATGTGCTCCACCACACCCAGCTAATTTTTTGTTTTTATTGTTTGGTAGAGATGAGATTTTACGATGTTGGCCGAGCTGGTCTTGAACTCCCGACCTCAAGTGATCTGCCTGCCTTGGCTTCCCTAAGTGCTGGGATTACAGCTGTGAGCCACCATTTCTGGCCAGGAATGATGAATGTTCTTAATGACATCTAAAATTATTAATCATTTCCATAAAATTTTCAATTTACTTTGCCTAGATCCATCAGAGGTATCGCTGTCTATGGCAGCTACAACCTTCAAAAATGCTTTTTTTTCTTAAATATTAAGACTTGAAAATCAAAATTACTCCTCGATTGGCTGCAGAATAGATGTTCTTCTAGAAGGCATGGAAACAACATTAATCTCTTTGTATATCTTCATCAGAGTTCTTGGATGTCCGGGTACATTGTTAGTGCACAGTACTATTTTGAAAACAATCTTTCTTTCTGAGCATAGGCCTCAATAGTGGGCTTAATATTTGGTAAACAATGCTGTCAACACATGTGCTGTCATCAGGCTTTGTGGTTCCATTTCTAGAGCACTGGCAGATGTAGCATAATTCTTTTTTTTTTTTTTTTTTTTTTTAGAGTAGGGGAAAGAGAAGTGATTAATTAGCATAATTCTTAGGGGCATTAAAATTTTGCAAATAGTAAATGAACATTGGCTTCAACTTAAAGTTACCAGTTGCATTATCCCCTAACAAGAGAGTCAGCCTGTCTTTGGCAGCTTTGAAGACAGGCATTGATTTCTCCTCTCTTGGCATCTTCTTCCAATAAGGCTGTTTCATTTTCACTGAATATCTTTTTTTGTCTGTGTAGCCACCTTCATCAATTATCTTAGCTAGACCTTCTAGATAACTTACTACACCTTCTCCATCAGTATTTGCTGCTTCACCTTGTGCTTTGAGATGACATCTTTCCTCTTTTAGCTTCAAACTTTTCTTCTGCGGCTTGCTTTTTTTTTTTTTTTTTTTTTTTTTTTTTTTTTTTTTTTTTTTTTTTTTTTTTTTTTTTTTGAGACAGAGTCTTACCCTGTTGCCAGGTTGGAATGTAGCGGCGCAATCTCAGCTCACCGCAACCTCTGCCTCCTGGGTTCAAGCAATTCTTCTGCCTCAGCCTCCCAAGTAGCTGGAATTACAGGCACGAGCCTCTACACCCAAGTAATTTTTTTGTATTTTTAGTAGAGACGGGGTTGCACCATGTTGGCCAGGCTGGTCTCTATCTCCTGACCTTGTGATCCGCCTGCCCCAGCCTCCCAAAGTGCTGGGATTACAGGCATGAGCCACAGCACCCAGCCTCTTCTGGAGCTTTCTTATCTCTCTATCCTTCATAGAACTGAAGAGCGTTGGGGCCTTGCTGTGTGTTAGGCTTTGACTTTTGGGAATGTTGTGGCTGGTTTAATCTCCCATCCAGACCACTCAAACTTTCTCCAGATCAGCAATAAAGTTGTTTTGCTTTTCTATCATTTGTATGTTCACTGGAGTAGCGTGTTTAATTTCCTTCAAGAACTTTTCCTTCAAGTTGCATTTGCAACTTGGCTAACAGTTTGGCCCAAGAGGCCTAGCTTTCATCCTCTCTCTGGTTTCACATCTGTATCATTTTAATGTTTTAACCTATGGAAATCTAAATAATGTGATCTGCCCCGCTTGGCCTCCCAAAATGCTCAGATAATAGACATAAGCCACCATGCCCCACCTGTGTTACACACTTTTAAACAATCAGATCTCACAAGAACTCACTCACTATTGCAACACAGTACCAAGGGGAAAATCTGCCGCTATGATCAGTCACATCCCACCAGGCCCTCCTCCAACATTGGGGATTACATTTGACATGCAATTTGGGTGGGGACAACATCCGAACTGTATCATCATCTTATATGGATGGGTGCAGTTCATGGTGCCCCAAAACAATTAAATAGTAACATCAAAGTCTACTGATCACAGACCCACAGACCGCCATAACAGATACAATAAGAATGAAAAAAATTGAAATATTGCAAGAATTACCAAACTGTGACACAGAGACATGAAATGAGCACACGCTATTGGAAAAATGGCACCCACAGACTTGCTTGATGCAGGGTTACCACAAACCTTTAATTTGTAAATTGCAGTGAGCCGAGATTGAGCCATTGCACTCCTGCCTGGGCAACAAGAGCAAACTCTAAAAGAAAAACATTTATAGCTGATTATAAAATCATCTCTTAAAGAGGACCACAGTGAGACAATTGTCTGTGGATGACAAAAACATTTTAGGACAGCCACAGTTAAAGCCACAATTGACAAGGAAATTTACTTCTGTGGCACATAGTAATTTAACATAATTATAAGTATTACTGATAACATATACTAAGTCATATTAGAATTATAGCAGTTTTACATGATTTTGGAACACATACCAAGAACACATTTACACAAATATAG